ATCGAGTCGACAAAAATTGATTCATCAATTGTTGATTTTATTGACACTGAAGGCGAAATAATTATAGTTGACAGAAGTCGATATTCTTCTGGTTGAGGTGAAGATATTGAAACTGGATCATTATTATTTGAATTCATTTAATGAAAATAATTACGAAAATATGTCAAAATCAACTCCAACTACTAGGGGAAATATTTTGAATGTAAATACTTCGATTGTTTTAGTCTTATTACTTGAAACTCTTGTTCCTTTTTGACCAACAAGTACCAATTAGAAAAAAATCAAAATCATGCGATAAATTCCGCTAAAATTCGAACAACTGCTATTACTATTAATAACAATATACATAAGACAAAAGCAGAAATTATGTCTAAGAAGTGTTGATTTTATCAGGTTTTCCATGCTATAACTGCTCATCGCTCTACAATCCATAAGTAAAATACTTTATAGAAATCGCTATGAACCCCAAATTCTTTGTATAGCTGATTTATTTCAGTGCTGTTTTCCATACCGCCCTGCAGGTCTTGCGTCTAAAAAAACAATGTCCTGCTCCTGCATTGGGGTAAGAAATGCAGGACAAAATCGCAAAAGTGCAGGATAGGACCTACGGGTGTCGGTGTAGGTATAGGTATAGTTAAAGGGAGAACGGAAATACCCACGCCCACGCCGACACCCAGACTCAGACTCACACGCACACCGACATACCCAGATCCACACCCATCCCAAATTAGGAATGTAGGAGATCAAAATTTTTAGATGTAGTCTTCATTTGAATTTGGTTCCAGCGGTTTTAGTTTTTCGAATAGCAAGTTAGACTTGGTTTCGGTCGAATGAAAATGATATCAGATTTTGTTTATATAATATCTGAAAGAAGTCTTAAATATAACGTAATTCCCTAATTCATTTAGTCAATGAATATCATTTTCTTTGTTCATATTCTCCTAAATTTTGTTGTAATTGATATGATTTATCAAATAATGCGTTGAAGAACATAGAATATTTACCTACAATCTTTAGTTTATTTTTTTTGCTCATGGTCTTAGCTCTAGTCTAAACGCAGTGAACCTTCAACTTTTGATGTCAGTCTTGTGCTGCACGTCTCGAGTCATACTTAACAACAAAGCATCCATACTATGGGCTATTTAATTTCAGTCTGAATTTATCAAATAAAAATAATACTTGATTTCAAACTGAAACGTGAGTCTAGGAGTGAGGGGGGGGGTGACTGAGGGTGTGAGTGTTGGTCTGGGACCCACACACACACCCACACCCATGGTGCGGGTGTGGGCGCGCGAGTGAGGGTGAGGGTGTGCTTGTGGTTTTGTGTACTATAGGCTTTAGTCCCCTGCACAGGGGACTAAGCGGGGACTAAGCTTTTTCTGGGGGGGACTAAGGGGGACTTTGCAGGACTAGGGGGACTAAGGGTTTTTAGTGAGACTACGTAGTATCAAGCGAGAAAAGTTTGATTCGGAAGAAATTGGTGTGGTTTTTTTGATTTTAGAATTCAGTTTGAAATAAAAAAGCCCATAGACTCAAAGCATCATAGATATGAATCAGTTTACATTATTATTCGATTTAATAGGGTGTGGGTGTGGGTGGATGTGGCTGTGAGTGTGGGTCTGGATTCATAACTACAACTCACACCCACACCCACCATTTTGGTTGTTCAGGTGTCTGAAACGTAGCCTTGGTACTTATCCAGATGCTAGAAGTTTAGCTAAAGTGTTATCCAAGGAGCTCAATTCAATACCTATTCAAGAATACCAAAAGATATTTCAGAAGTGGATTGAAAGGATGAAACTTTGTATTGAACATTGTAGGGATTACTTCGAACATTTACTGTAAAAAGATTAGCAAAATATTTTTTCTATGAATAAATATTTGAAAGTGCAAGAACATATGGACTAACCTATGTATATTCGTACAATCAAGAGTACCGTAAGAAATCTATTATTTTACTTCTGTTATTACAGAAAATACACCAAGCTCTTGACGAAGTTTTTCTTCAGTAGCAGCTTCTGGTAAATCACTTTTAGTACCAAGTACAACAATTGGTGCACCAGCAATTTGTTCATCTGTTAATAAATTCTAATAACAAAACAAAGTAATTTTTAAGAAAAACTAGAACAAAAAATGAAATACGAACATCAAGTTCTTCTTTTGCTTTAGCAAAACGACTTCGATCAATTGTGTCAACAAGAAACACAATCGAATCTACAGCTGCAATATAATCTTTCCATACATGACCAGCTATTAGAAAAAAATTGATAAATCAAAATATTCATTTGTCATATTACCTTGAACATGATCACCACCTACACTGTAAAAAAAATTCGTAGAATAATAAACCCTAGTATTTAAGGAAAATTTTCCTAAACCCTTAAAGGGTTTATGCTTGTGTGTTAAACCCTTAAAGGGTTTTTGTGCGAAAGGGTTTCTGAGAAAAAGGGTATTTAAAAATAAAAAGGGTTTATGACAAGCGAAAAAGGGTTTATTGTTCTACTCTTTCATGAAAAGGGTTTATTATACTACGGCTAAGGGTTTATTGTTCTACTCTTTTATGAAAAGGGTTTCTTATTCTACGGATAAGGGTTTATTGTTCTACTCTTTCATGGAAAGGGTTTATTATTCTACGGCTAAGGGTTTATTGTTCTACTCTTTCATGAAAAGGGTTTATTATTCTACGGATAAGGGTTTATTGTTCTACTCTTTTATGAAAAGGGTTTATTATTCTACGGATAAGGGTTTATTGTTCTACTCTTTCATGAAAAGGGTTTTTATTCTACGGCCAAGGGTTTGTTGTTCAACCTTTCCATGGAAAGCGTGTATTTCCAAGACTGAAAGGCTAGGTTTTAGAAACCGTAATTCACCTGTGTCTGTCTGTAACAAGGTCTTAGCACAAATGACCATTTCCATGGTACAAATGACCATTTCTGTGGTACAAATCACCATTCCTATGGCACAAATGACCTATTCTATGGTACAAATGATTATTCTTTTGGCAGACATGACCATTTTTGGGTGTGGGAATGGGTGTGGATGTTGGTCTCTTCCTCACTCATTGCCACACCCACACCCCGATGTCGAAATCTTGCGACTTCCAGTAAAGCATTGTAAACTCAATTCCACAAAGCTTACATGGGCCCAACTCAAGTCGCACGTGCGCAACAGGTATGTTAATTTTCGTCTTTCCAAGGTTGAAGATAGTGCGCTCGATTTTATTGCTGCCGTTGATGAAGACTTAGCACAAAGGTTCATCGAGCATGCATACAATTTCCAGAATATTTTCAAAGCAGCCGATGTAGAGGTGTAAGCCGCCGAGCTGAATCGCCACTGTCACGGAATCGTCGATAATTTTAAGAATTTCTTAGCCGCCACCGCTATGAAAAAGTTAGTTCAACCAGTGCGCCACCACCACGAACGAAAATTTTTGATAATAGTATGAAGCACCACCGCCGTTGACAGCGATACATATGCGATGGGTCATTTTTTCCACTTTTAGGAGCGAAAACGTTTTTTTTTTCTGGGCTAAAGCCGCCGCCGACGTAAAAAGCATAAAACCTAGTAGTCGGCGCCGCTATGAGCAAAAGAGGTAACCATTAAAATGGCTGCCACTCTTTGACCCTCGGCTTACACCTCTAAGCGGATGTCATTGTGGAAAACAATATTGAGTCACAATTGATTGAAACGGTAGGTTATCATTTTGCCCCAAATTGTGGTTCCCTGAATCAATCCCCAAATCACATCCCTATTTGGGGAAAATAAAACAATTAAGGTAAATTCTGGTCACCAAATGGGGATTTTATTTTGGGGATTTTTTTATTTGGGCATTTTCTTTTCATAAGATACATTATGTTTGTTATGAATCAATAGCATGTTGCTTCTCATACTACATAGTATCAACGAATGTCTATCATTTGTCACAAATTGGTTACCACAAATATATTCTCAAAAAAAAAGAATCTCTATTAACTAAACATAATAAGAACAGTTTCCGATGAATCTGGTGACCAGAATTTATTTTTGATTACTACAAGGAACAATTCTTAAGGTGAATCTGGTGACCAGAATCCATCTTGGATTACTACGAAGTTCTCTTTTGGGCAACCCAAAATAAAGTCTGGTCATCAGATTCACCTCAAAACTGTTCGTTGTAGTAATCCAAAATAAATTTTGGTCACCAGGTTCATCGGAAACTGTTCTTATTATGTTTAGTTAATAGAGATTCTTTTTTTTGAGAATATATTTGTGGTAACCAATTTGTGACAAATGATAGACATTCGTTAATACTATGTAGTATGAGAAGCAACATGCTATTGATTCATAACAAACATAATGTATCTTATGAAAAAAAAATGCCCAAATAAAAAAATCCCCAAAATAAAATCCCCATTTGGTGACCAGAATTTACCTTAATTGTTTTATTTTCCCCAAATGGGGATATGATTTGGGGATTGATTCAGGGAACTACAATTTGGGGCAAATGATAGACATTCATTGAAATCGATAAAAAAGAAGATTCAGCAGCAACGAATGGCAATGAGTGTGATATTTCTAAGTGACAATTTGTATGCGTCCCTCTTCTCTACCATTTGCACTTGTGACAACTTCTCTGATGCATACATATGTCAGTGTGATCAAATAGACAAAAAAATAAACACGAACGAGTAAAAAATGAATGTTTCTCTTGAATTGATTAGTGAAGATCGGCAGAAATAGACATACACGAGGTATTATGAAGAAATCAAAGATCTTCAATCATCTAACTAATAACGTTACAATAATCAGTAGATTCCATTACCTCTATGGATGAGAGGTCTAAGACAAAAAACTTTGAAAATTTAGCATCATTCGATTTCAGGAGATTTTTTCTTTTATCTCAGAGACACATAACGGAAGTGTGAAACTTTCAGCGTTTATAGAGCAAATACTCAGCTACAATTTGGCTCAATTGAAATTAATAATCTATTTAATCAAAAGAGTCAGTCAGAGTTTTATAAAAAAAAGCACTTGTACACCTTCTATAAAACTTTTAAAATTCATTGACTCTTAGCTGTACAGGTACCCTCACCCAACCTTTGTCTAACAGTGAAAACTGCGATTCGATAGCTATCAGCGTTGCAAAGTTATTAAACAAACAACCGAATATACTTTATTTTGAAATGCATAATAATTTCCACAACAAGATGAATTGTAAGTATTATTTACATTAATAGTTTTTCCTTTTCCATTCAGATCAGTCTCAAAAACAAGATAAAACGTAGTTTTCATACACACAAAAACACCATAATGAACTTAATTATTTTTATAAGCTCGTCTTTCTTGGTTAAGTTAATCTCGACAACGAAATGAAATGTAAGTAACATTTATACATACGTATATGTATTAGTTCAAAATAAAATGCAACTATTATTTATATATATCTTTTTTTCGCCATTCAGATCAATCGCAACAACGAAATCGAAAGTAAGTATTATTTTCTTATAAATGTTTCCTTTTGATTTAGGTTAACATGAAGTTGAAAATAAAATGTAAGTATTATTTACTTTAACAATTATCCTTTTCTGTTTAGATCCATTGTAACAAGAAATCAAAAATAAGTATTATTTACTTATATAAATGTTTTTTTATTTTATATTGTTCAATATGAAATTCAAAATAATATGTAAGTATTATTTTAAAAAAGTCTTCTTTTTTATTTAGACCAATCGCAACAACGGAATCAAAATTAAGCATTATTTTCTTATCGATGTTTCGTTTTGATTTAGGTTAATATCGAGTTGAAAATAAAATGTAAGCATTATTTACATTAATAATTATTTTTTTCTGTTTAGATTCATTGTAACAAGAAATGAAAAGTAAGTATTATTTACTTACATATATATATATATATATATATATTAATTTTATTTAGTTCAATATAAAATTCAAAATAATATGTAAGTATTATTTTAAAAAAATCTTCTTTTTAATTTGGACCAATCACAACAACGAAATCAAAAGTAAGCATGATATACTTATATATATTTTTTTTAAATTTTATTTAGCTCAATATGAAATTCAAGATAATATGTAAGCATTATATTAAAAAATCTTCTTTTTAATTTAGACCAATCGCAACAACAGAATCAAAAGTAAGTATTATTTTCTTATCTGTTTCTTTTTGATTTAGGTTAACATGAAGTTGAAAATAAAATGTAAGTATTATTTGCATTAATAATTATATTTTTCTGTTTAGATCCATTGCAACAAGAAATCAAAGGTAAGTATTATTTACTTACATAAATGTTTTTGTTTTGTTCTATTTAGTTCAATATGAAATTCAAAATAATATGTAAGTATTATTTAAAAAAAAT